TAGCTTTTATAAACGTGCCTTCGAAAAAAAAAACATTACATGGTGTCTATCTTGAGACAAAACAATGGCAGTGACATATTTTAAGATATGTCAGTGCAAATAGCTTTCAGTTAAAACAGCTCAAACATGCATTTCAGTCTGGGACTAGACTAGTCTAGCCTTGTCTGTGAATCCGGGCGTCAGTGTTGATAGTGAAATTTGTTTTCAGGTAGGCTAGCTATTAGCAATCTATCGTTTTTATTTCAAATGGATAGTTCACCCAGAATCAAAATGTATTCCCTCTCATGTAGTTTCAAAACCCGCATGACTTTCTTTTTTCCATGGCACACAAAAGGTGATAATGTAATGAATATCTGGTGGACGGAATTCAATACAATGGCAGTATATTGAGCGTTAACACATTTACCTCTTTCTACCTGCCATTGACGGAATTTTACGTCATTTATGAGTAGGGTTGGGTACCGAAACTCGGTGCCAATAGGGAACCGGTTCCGACGTAAACGGTAGTAACCAGACCGAATAAGAACGAAAATTTCGGTGCCTGATTTCGGTGCCTAACTTCATTAGGCACACACGCGCACACACACACACACACACACACACACAAGGTCTCTCGCTCTCTCTCTCTCCGCCGTGCGTGTGCTACACAGTTTGGAGCACAGTTTCTTCTGTCTCGCATGCGCGCTCTTTCTCGCAAGGTTTGGCTGCATTTCACGTGTAAAATTACGTGTCAGAACGCCCTCTGGGTGTGCCGATAGTCTGAATCCCATATAGAATCAAGCCAATTCATTGGCTGATGGCGCGGGCGCCGCATCGACGCACTTACGTCGTCATACTATGTTGGCGCGCGCGCGCCATCTGCTCCTCAGATTTCTCTGCCGAAAAAGGAAGCTGGTCGGCAGCGCGAGGAGCTTGGCAGCGTCCCGTTCCCTATTGAGAGATATGTTACACCAGTAACCAGAGATGTTCTCTTTCATAGGTTCACTCAACGCTGCGTAGCTAAGAAGCAGTGGATTTGTAGGCTGCTGTATCACGTAGGCCTACCGTTTGAACTGACGCGCTACAGCGATCTGTCACATTTCAAAGAGCCAAAACGTTATTTATTGTGTGAATCTCGTAAAAATATTGACAGAATCTGACAGCTGTGGATTTGTTCCATATCAAAAGTAACCTTCTCTGTCTTGTCTGTCAGTGTCCTCTTTGTCCGCGATTTTTCTGTGTGAAAAGGGTCATTTGCGTGAGTCTCACGGTCAATGCGTGAGAGTTGGCAGCTCTGCCTGCTAGTAATCTCTATTAATCTCCAGTATTATTACATTGTTTGATACAATATTGTTTCATTTGATATTATGTAAATATGAATTTTTATTTTATATTGGTTTTATTATTACCATATGTTACTTGTATTTATATTGTTTAAAGATTTAAGTTAATATTGTGTCCAGTTTGGCCCTGTAAATTAAAGGGTATTATTTTTTGATAAAGTGTGTGCGGTTTCATTTTCTTAAGTACCGATTTAAGAACCGTTTAAGCACCGGAACCGTTTAAAAAATACCGAGTAGGTACTGGAATCGGATAAAACCCAAACGATACCCAACCCTATTTATGAGACAATGCTTCCCTAGCATTGACTGAATTTTCCAGAAATCCGTGTTTTCTCTGTTATACGGTAGGTGGGGGCGCTATTACGCATCCTCTGAAATAGTACTGAATCACTGGGTCAAAACACAAGCAAAGAAGAAGCAGAAACAAGCAAAAGCATTGCTTATGCACATGTAAGCTAACATGATCATCAAACATTAAACAGCTTATAAATTAAAAGTGGCAAACTTTACCAAATTAAATGTTGACCAAGGAAGAGGTATAGTCAAGTCAAATCATCTTTATTTATATAGCGCTTTATACAATACAGATTGTTTCAAAGCAGCTTTTCAGTGAAAACAGGAAAATGATTTAATGATGCAAACAGAGTTCATTTCAGCTGTACAACAGCTCTAAAAGAAAATGATGTCATTGTTCAGCTGAAGTCAGTTCAGTGTCGATTCATTTCCGTGGTAAAGATGATCTATTATTAAATTAGGTAATTTTATCTATAAAGCAGTTCTGCAGAAAACAGTGATGTCATCGTCTAGTTCAGTTCAGTTCTCATACTATAGTGTCAGTACAGTCAAATCAATAATATTGTTAAATATTAATATTTATATTTCTCCATGCAGCTGACAGTATGGGGAAAAAAGAATGGGACAGTTCAAGCTTTGGGGGTGTTGATTGACTCGATCTACTCGATTTATGTTTTGATTACGAATCCCATTTTGACATAGTCTTTGGTAAAAGCGCTATTTTCAAAATGTTTTTTTTTTTTATGAAATGTACCCACAAGTGTTGATTAAAAAAAAAAGTATGAAGAATAAAATGGTTCTTTCTTCTTAAAGCAGAGGTCTGTTCTTTCTTTTGTTCAGATATTCATTCAACAAAATATTCTGGGGACCATGAAAGTTTTGAGAAAATGATCGCTGGCTGGCAACTTTTTTTTTAAAAATGCTGGCGGGGAAAGAGTTAACAAAGCATGCAGGAATATCAGCGAAAAAGTGCATGGGGCTCAATTAAAAAAAAAATAAACTGCTTCTTCTACTGTTTACCAATGTAAAATATGTATTTGGTGCAGGAAAACAACAGTGGCCATTGCGATTTAATTATTATTAAATTGCGTTAATATCAAGTCATGCGGGTTTGGAACAATGTGAGTGTGAGTAAATAATGAGAGAATGTTTATTATGGAGATTTTAAAATGTTCATGTTTGAACTATTCCTTTAATATACAAACACAATGTTTCACAAATGTGACTGTTGTTGTACAGTGAGTGCTATAAAATGATTTGTATTGCGTGGCTTAGATAAATTTGATAGTGTAAGAATTTTAGAAATGTTTCAGCTTACATTATTTTTTTATTTTTTTTGCAGCCTTATTAATGTAGCCAACTTTGAGACTTTGTTGTGAATTCTTCTCAAACTTTAGAGAACGTGAGATTACTGGGTTCCTTTTCTCAAGAGAAAAAAAATCTTAAAAGCTGGTTCTCATTTGATTTCATTGCTTTCCAGGAGAAACAATTGAGCCTTTAAAGAGATCTCACTTATGATTTTGCTTTCAAATGGGTACAACTGACACAGTACAGCTCAAAAGGCGATTGCTGTGTCTTCCTTCCTCCCCTTCAATCTTTTGTCCACTTCATACAAATACAGGAAACCACCAATATTAGGGGTGGGAAATACACACCAGCACAACAGAGAGGGGAACCCAACTTTTTGTGAGCTTCATAGACACTATTCTAGACTCATCTATGAAGAAGATGACACATACAAGCACAGTAGGAGATCCTAAAGCTGATTGGTCCAGAAACTCCAGTTACATCTGGTCACACTTTCCGAGCTACTGACTTCGGTGAACTACACCACCGCACTTTGTGTAATGTAAATAATGAGAGGGAGAGAGAAAATGGGAGGAGGGAAGGTTTAAGCACTGCCATGTGACTATGTGTTGGTGACCTCCTGACAGTCGGTCATAACTGCAGAACGACTCTAAAAAAGCCACAAAGTTCAGCACTTGGTGAATTCCAGGAGCTTCAGCGACTCTTTGCCAAATTTGGACTTAAAGGAAGCGAAACCTCCTCTCGTTCTCAGGGTGGATGTTCATGTGCGTGGGTTTATGTACCTGTTTTTAGTAAATGTGGTAAGTGTACAGTTAAAGTTTGCAAATTTTATGGCATTTAATCCTAACACCTGCTGTTATAAGCCTATTTCCTACATACAAAAGAGGGTGAAAGGAGGGTATTGTACTTTTGTAAAGACTGGACCTTTCTGTGTGTAATGGTTACCTGTTGTTACAAATGTGATAAACAACAAAACAAGGATTGTATGCATGCAAGTGTCTTTCTGTGGGCTTGAGAGAGTGAGAAATCATTTAGGCAAAATGAGAATAGTTTCGTAAGATGTCTGAATTGCAGTACATTAGCATTATATGATAATATCTTGCCTTCAATAACCTCCTCCGACTTAGTCATACAGAACAGGAAGCTGCTTGCAGTGATTCAGAAGTACCCACTGTCCTGTCAGAAAGCTGTGTCAGGATTATGAGTTCAGATCACATGCTGTTGTGTTTCCCATGGCAAACCCAAGGGTCACCGCCCCCTGCACTGGGGTGACTGACCCTGTAAACTATATGCTCCTTTGTCAATAGACTTTTTGTTCTTATTCTGTAATTTCTTATGCAGTGGTGTGTTTGCAAATTCTTAACACAAAGTATTACACGTCAGTGTAACTTGTTTGTGCTATTGGCGCGAATGGTACCTCAGATTGTGTGGATTGATGAGGAGAAGTGTGTTATTGGTTTTCCAAGCAAATTGCCATTTTTACCTGGCTGTTAAAAAAACACTGAAAAAAAAACCATTCAATTACATTGAATTTGCAAGATGTGAGCCATATAACATCATTAGCAGGCACCTAGCAACAATCCTGAACATCCCAACATTTGCAAAGCAATGTGATAACTCAGAATGCTTTAGAAACTGCATAGAAATGTGATAACCTCTCAGAACGCCTACAACACACAGTGCCTTAGTTTCATGTTGGTGAGTTTTGCACTGGCAAGAACCGTTTGCATTTTCTTCAGGAAACCTAGAAATCGATTACATTAATCTAATACATTGACTTAGATAACTTGGACCTCTATTTACAAATCTTAAGTATAAACTAGAATTGTTCTACTTTTCCTGGAATCTTTGCTTTTAACTGTATGACAATTCTAGGGAAGCCTGAGGCTTGTTTAGGACATTTGCCCTGTTTAAAGCTTTCCTGAAAGTCAAAATGCCAAGTCAGTGGAAAATGAATAATGTCATGAATTCCTGAGTTGCTTGAGATTTTTATCTTATCCTTTCATTATGGGGGCGTTTCAGACTCAAAATGATCATCTCTCTTTCTCTCCTCTCTCTCTCACCCACCCCTTTCAGTGAGGAGGAAACCCAGAGTTCAGCTTCACGTCCCTTTTCAGACAATTCCAGCAGTAAATCTCCTTACGTGTACCGCTCTGACCGTTACGGGGACAACAGCTGCGGCCCCCCAGGCCCCCGGGTGCCTTTTGTGCCCCCTCCAAGCCCAGCCAGTCTTGCCTGGGCACAGCGTACACGCAACCAACCAGCTAGCCTGGCCCTACGTAAGCAAGAGGAAGAGGAAAACAAGAGGTGCAAAGTCCTATCAGACAGCTATGAACTCTCTACAGACCTACAAGACAAGAAGGTAAGGCATGCAAAAAAGTATTAGGATTCGCAGTAAATCACATTCTGTTGGAGAAAATATAACTGATAAGGCTGTCGTGCAGGTGGAGATGCTGGAGAAGAAATATGGAGGCTACTTCGTAAGTAGACGAGCAGCGCGTACCATCCAGACAGCATTCCGTCAATATCGTATGAACAAGAACTTTGAGCGCCTCCGCAGCTCAGCTTCTGAGAGCCGCATGACACGCCGCATCATCCTTTCCAACATGCGACTGCAGTATTCGTTTGATGACCGACACCCTCAACCTCCCACCCCGACTCACTACAGTCACAGTCCAGGAATGGGTCCTCCGCATTCTCCAACCTGCACCACAGAGCCAAGCTCCCCATCACGGCCGGAGTACACTCACCTTGAGGACTCCTTCTCTAAACAAGTAAGTCCTGAGTTTGTCTGTATCTGAAGTCATCATAGAGATAAAGGGCCTTTGGGGGTTAAGAATTAACTTATTCTGCTGAAAAGACAAGGAAAACTGGTCACCAGTTTGTGTTGTGTTTTGGATGTTGATCCTCAACATTGGATAATGTACAGGCTTCATAGTTAGCTTAACCAGCAATATGTTTTTGGTCGACTAGCTTTACCAGACAGACAGTTGGTCAAAGTTTTACATACCTGTTTGAGCTGGTCTTCAGTGGGGTATTGTCTTTAGCTTCTCCGTACATATCCTCACGTGAACTGATTGTTTAAATGATTCCAAAACTGTCAAATCATGACTAGATAATGCTATGAAAAAATGTCTATCCTGTGGCTCCTTCACTCTCAGAAAACAAAAACAACAACTTGTCATTGGGGCAGTACTAGGGGTTGAACGACTTCAGATTTTTTTTAAAGTCAACATTTATGTGATGAATTATGCGATGTCGACTAGTCGCTGATGACGTCATTAATGAACAAATAAGCCTGAACCTCTAGCTGAGACTCGAATGCAGGTTGCATATTGACACAGCGCTGCCCAGGAGGCTATACATAACAGCTTATTTTTTATCAGTTATTTTGTCTTTGGGTCGTTATATTTCTCACAGTTCCTGCTCGTTCTAAATCAGTAACAGATAAAGTAGCACAGTAAACATTTATAGGCTATGAATGCATTAGTGAGAGAGCAATTGCGTTTGAATTAATTCTACCTGGCAGCGTCTCTCTAATAATATTGAAGCTGTGGGTTTTAGTTACTAATAAAAATACGCTAGGACTTTTCAATTTTTTAAGCTATTTTATTGATAAATCACAGAACAGTGTTGTCTATACATTTCTGCGCTACTGAATGATTCTCTGTGGATGCGATCTGCGCGTGATGCACGAGCTTCTGTATGTGTGTGTGTGCGTTACAATGCAGCACCCATTAGTTTAGAATGGCGATTAACTTACGTGTACAATAAGCTGTTTAAAACGTGCATTCTCCCGATCAATTTTGAGCATATAGATAGTAGTGTTGCACGGTGCACCGATACTTCAAAAGTATCGCGATACTCGGAAATTAAAAACTTCACGATACCTAAATTTATTAGTATCGATACTTCTAAGAATGACCGCGTTCCAGATTTGTAAGAGAGTAATGCATGTTGGTGTGTGCAACGCACGCTTCCAGTACCTCCCTATGTACGTCTGTGTTTTTCTCCTCATGCGCGTGTGACAGGGCGCGTGAACTGAACGAGCAGAGAGAGCGAGCGAGCCCCGGTCGCGCGCGCGCACTCTCTCTCTCTGCGGAGCCAGGCGAAAGGATAAGGCTTCACCGTCTCAAAACTAAGCGCTGTCTTGCTCTCTCTCTCTCCCTCGCACATATTAATCAAAATAATTCGACACGATGGTAAGGTCGGGTGACTAAAGTTTCATGTGGAGCATTCGGAGTTTTTTTTTTCTCCTGAATTACCGCTGGGTGTAAATTGTGGTAAAATACGTTGCCTTATCTTCTCTGAATCGTTCCGCACATTCAGCTGACATAAACCACACTTTAAATAAACGAAAAAAACTATCCAGTCATGAAATGTTTTCTGTGATGACAGTGGGATGTCCTAACCGCCTGGATAATCACACAACGCGCACACGTCCGATAATGACACGTCCAATTCGCGAACTCATTTGAACCGATTCGTTTTAATGAATGGTTAAAACAACTGATCTGTCTGAATCGGTCCGGTGTATAACTAATCGTTAACACTTTGTAATAAGAGTTCATTTATTACATAAATTACATAAAACAAATAAAAACACTTGTTTTTTCCCCCCGAAAAAGCATATGACTACTTTTTTCCACACAGTGCTATCATGAATCGATAAGAGAATCGTTAAAGAATCGGATCGATAAGCAGAATCGTCAGTGGCATTGATATTGATAAAATCTTATGTTTCTTATGATAACTGAGATAATGCTGCTCTAATTTTATTTTTTATATTTTTCATATTTCATATTTTGTTCAAATGGTTAATATAGCCTATCTGCTGTTCATATGTTCATTTTTTAGTGTGTTATGATTGGAATGTTGTCCCAGTTTTAAAATAAAGCACAGCAATGATATTTGAGAGTGTTTCTCCCTTTTCAGGAAAAGTATCGAAAAAGTATCGAAATCGCAATTCTTGACTTGGTATCGGTATCGAAACAATAATTTTGGTATCGTGACAACACTAATAGATAGTATAATCAAACATCTTCTGGAGCCCTTGTGGAGTGGAGTATGCATTTATTTGTAATTTTAACTGTTTGGACACGGAGCTTTAAAGTGGATCTCCAATATTTCTTATCCTGTTGCGCCCTCTATAGGCCATGACCAGCGACTAGGCAGTACCCTTAAAGAAATTAAGTTTGTACCATATTTCCTCTTAAAATGTTCATAGTAGTAACTTAAGGGTACTATTTTAATGTATATGAACCTTTTAGGGGTACTGCCCCAGAAACAGGGATCTGCTGTAACCCTAAAAGTAAATATTTTGCACAGTTTATCGGACAGTGTTCATTTCTTTGTACTCAAGGTGAAGTCTTTGGCCGACTCCATTGATGATGCCCTAACTTGTCGACCACGCCGTGATGACTCCCAGGAAGGGATAGGGGACGGAAGTGGTGTTGTGGATGACTTTGGCGAGTGCATATGGAGCAGCAACAGCCACGCATCCTTACGGAGAGGCCTTGCAGACAGGGATCGAGGAGGTACAGGGGGCTTGAGCATGCACGAGGATAGCACAGCCACCTCCTACAGCGATGTCACACTTTACATGGACGACGGACTACCTTCCTCGCCGCTTTCTCTAGACCGGGCCCCTAGCAGCACAGACACTGAGTTCTGGGGGGGTGTTGGAAGCGGGGTAGGTGGTAGGGAGGATAGCCGTGACACAGAGGGAGGAGGAAGCAGCAATAGTCGCCGAAGCACACCTTGCACAGAGTGCCGTGATTACCGTTTACGGGGAGGGCACTTGCCACTACTTACAATTGAACCACCTAGTGACAGCTCCGTGGACATGAGTGACCGCTCAGACCGAGGCTCCCTCAGCAGACAACTGGTGTATGAGCAGGATTCAGTGGGAGGGTCACCTCAAGGTACACTAAAACACAACCCTAATGCTCGTTCAACATCCTCGACAGCTGCACAAGGTCAAACACGTCCAGCTAGCCGATCGATACCGTCGCATATCCCACACCACATGGCTCACCATCATCACCACCACCACCACCACCACCATCACCAGTACCCCGACACTCCTTCGTCCTCCTCCTCTCCTCAACAGCCCCCAACCACACCACTCTCATCCTCCTCTTCAGCACCCCTGCCACCTGGTGGCTTGGAGCAGCAGTGCTGCTCAGATGGTGATAATGACTCACTGAACTCCACCACAAACTCTAACGAGACCATTAATTGCAGCTCAGGCTCTTCGTCAAGGGACAGTCTGCGGGAGCCCCTGCCCCCATTAGGAAAACAGACCTACCAGAGAGAAAGCCGGCACAACTGGGACTCTCCTGCCTTTAACAACGATGTGGTTCAGAGAAGACAATATCGCATTGGACTCAACCTCTTCAACAAGTAAGAGAAAATGAAACTCTACCTCTTATAAGCAACAATCCCACCATTTAATATAATAGCAAGCCAGTGACTAATCTATTATAAATCACATTGAGGAAACTGAATGAATTTGATTAAAGCATGATTAAACTGTACTGTTGTTTTTTGGACTGCAGGAAGCCGGAAAAGGGTATTCAGTACCTGATTGAAAAGGGCTTTGTGTCAGACACACCAGTGGGCATCGCTCGCTTCATCCTGGAGAGAAAAGGTCTGAGTCGGCAGATGATTGGAGAGTTCCTTGGAAACAGACAGAAACAGTTCAACAAAGATGTATTGGAGTGAGTTCACACAATAAATCCTCTAAAAAGCAGCTAAGCCCCTGTTTAGACCTGGTATGAAGATGTGTTTTGGTCGATCGGATCTAAAGTGGATGACACTAAATACAGGTGTAAACGGGATCTAAACATTTTTTTACCTTATGACCACTTCCGGAGGTATTCGAAAACACATTAGACCAGATTGCTTTCGTAATATTAACACTCATGTGGTCGAATGCGTTCGAACAGCCACAAAAGATGGCCTAATCTCTGCCTGCTGAACTAACGTGTAAACATTATGGGAAGCTTGGTAGACAGACGGGATTTAAACTTTGTTGGCTGGAGACCCAAGTTTGGTTTGAAGAAGAAAAATGTACCAAGCACAATGTTCTCTCACCATTCCTGATTTCTAACATGCACTCACAGCATTGAGCATGGCTTGCGGCTATCAGAGAAGAAACGAAAGCTGATGCTCTCAGCATGTTTTTCCGTCGTCTTCGGGCACGTTCATCTGTAAATTGCGTGAGTTTACTTTGTACATTAGATCAAAAGATCTGAAAAAAAAAAAAACATACATTTACCGGTCTATTAAAAAGTCCCCTCAAAGAAATCAGAACAGAAGTGGTTGAAAGTAGTCTAAAGAGACAGATTACCACACCAGGTGTAAACTGGTATGCGTCTCCTTCGTCTACTTGTGATGCGATCGACCAAAACATACCTTATATCTTAATACCAGGTGTAAACAGGACCTAGGATTAATGAAGTCTATTAGCAAATGACAAAAGGTTAATTTTCAAAAAGGTTTGCTTTGAAAAAATTTAATCATTAACAAGGTTCAACTGAAGAGACACATAGGCATGCATTGAATATAAACTATACACCATAACACTAGACTTAGCTTGCAGTGCAACAGAGCAGGGATTTTCAACCTTTTTCAGGCCAAGGACCCTATGGTAGATAGAGAGACAAGGACCCTGTTGTATTAAATTAACTGTTGCATTTTAGGTCTGACTTATAATAACATACATGTAGTATTATTCATGTTAATGTATTTACTGTACAGACTTTAAGATGCTTAAAATAAAGTCATTAAAATAATACTTTTGATGTACATATACTTACAGTACATACACTACATTTTAATTTAATTTAATACATTTTAATCTGAGAATTTGGGCTTTGATTGAAGTTAACCTAATAAAACACTTTTGTTTCATGCATATTCACATTTTTTAGATCAGAACAATAATTGCCAGACCCCTTGAAGTACTCCTGGGGACCCCTTTGGGGTTGTGGAGACCCAACACCCTTGCAATCGAGCAATACAATATTTTGAACAATATTACATCAAAAATGCACAGAAAATAAAGAATTTCTTGATCCACAAACAAATGAACGCACATTTTGGCATGAGAATGTATAAACATGTAACATTTTCTTCCACTTTTGTTTTTCTCAGTTGTGTTGTGGATGAAATGGACTTTTCTGGAATGGATCTCGATGATGCTTTGAGGAAATTTCAAGCTCAGATAAAAGTGCAAGGAGAGGCCCAAAAAGTGGAAAGACTTATTGAGGCTTTCAGGTATGTTAATGCAATCATAGTAAAAAAAAAAAGAAAAAACCTTAGCATTTCACATTCATTAAGTTAAGCACGAGAGGCTATGTGTTACAATGATTTTAACACTATTAAGGGGTCTTGGTAACAGAAGATTCCTATTGATGTTGCTCATAAATCACCTATATAGTGGCATCAAACATGGCTCATCCCATCAGATTGCAAAGCTGGTATAATGCGTTTATAAAACATGTTTTATCTCTCCTTCAATATTTGCACATTTAAATTCTATTTCTCTCTCTGTATCTGTCTTGTAGTCAGAGGTACTGTGTTTGTAACCCAGCACTGGTAAGACAGTTCCAGAACCCAGACACCATCTTCATCCTAGCATTTGCCATCATCCTCCTCAACACAGACATGTACAGCCCCAATATCAAAGCGGAGAGGAAGATGAAGCTGGACGATTTCATCAAAAACTTGCGAGGTGGTGTATAAATCTGTCTCTCTCTCTTTCTCAAATATCACACATTCACATATTTGGCACTTACTTAAGTAGCCAACTAAACACAGTCTCAATCTGCTTTTAAATGTGCCATGTAACTGTCAGGGATTTTGCAAATAGACTAAATCTCTTCTTGTGTGCATGTCATTTCTTTCTCTCTCAGGGGTGGATAATGGTCAGGACATCCCACGTGACTTACTAGTTGGAATCTACCAGCGCATTCAGAAGTGGGAACTGAGGACCAATGATGACCATGTTTCTCAGGTCCAGGCGGTGGAGAGAGTCATTGTGGGCAAAAAACCTGTGAGCACTTCTGAGACATTTAGCAAATTGAGTTTTTTTGGATTGGAATCTTTGAGAATAGTGAATGTTTGAGAACATATTTGCTACTTTGAACTGTTCTGTCAGTTTAAAATCATACTTTTGATGAACAATTTGTAATGTAGTTCCAAAGTAAATGTAAATATCTGTGTGTAGGTTCTGTCTCTGCCCCACCGCAGACTGGTGTGCTGCTGTCAGCTCTATGAAGTCCCGGACACCAACCGCCCTCAAAGGTCTGGAGTCCACCAGAGAGAGGTCTTCCTGTTCAACGACCTGATTGTGGTAATGTCAATAATACACATCAATTAATAATGCATGCCAAATGAATTGGCCCAAGCCGTTTTAGCAACATCTCCTCAGCATGAATGTGTATTTTAAAGTTACTACACATTAAAATGCTTAGTGTTTATTTTTCTTTGTTATTATATTTCAAGGTTACAAAGATCTTCCAGAAGAAGAAAACCTCCGTAACATACAGTTTCAGACAGTCCTTCCCTCTTGTGGAGATGCAGGTTCACATGTTCCAGAACTCCTGTAAGATTTGAAGTTAATTTTTGTCTTTCTTATATATACATAGTATAGTTCAAAAGTTTGGGGTCAATACGATTTTTTATTTTTTTGAAAAAGATTTCTAATGCTCACCCAGACTGCATTTATGTGCTCAAAAATATAGTAATATAATGAAATATTATTGTAATTTTGAATAGCTGCATTCCATTTTATTATATTTTAAAACGTAATTTATTCATGTGATGCAAAGCGGAATTTTCAGCATTTTTACTCCAGTCTTCAGTTTCACATGATTTTTCAGAAATCATTCTGATATGCTGGTTTGGTGCTCAAGAAACATTCCTTATTATTATCAATGTTGAAAACAGTTGTGCTTAAATATTTAGAAGGAAACTATACTAAAAAAATGTAGGAATCTTTGATAAATAAAAAGTAAAAAAAACAAAACAAAAAAACAGTATTTATTAGAAATAGAACATTATAAATGTCTTACATATGTCCTTGTTCATACTGACCCCAAACTTTTAATAAAATATTATTATAAAAGATATGTCATATTCAGACTTCCCAGGCTTAGTTTATAGTTTTCTCATAAAGCTGTAAATTATTATAATCAACATAGTTCAGGTGCGATAGCCATGGAAAACCTGGAAAAATAATATAAAATAATATTGTGATAGATCAGGAAAAGTCATGGAATTTTCTATAGTGAATATTCATTTTTCTGCTTCTCTACAATCATCACTTAAACCTATTTAAAGTGGTCATGACATGGATTTTTAAATGATTGTATTATGTTCCATGAGATTAACTTATAATGTTAAAAAAAAAAATTTGCACAAAAAACAAAAACAAATATATATCCGGAAAAAAAACATTTAATCAAAAATTTCAATGAGATTTCTCATGACCCCTTTTTTAAAATGTAATGTGACATTGTTATTTGTGAACCCTGAATAAACGTGATCTTTTTCTCTCTCCACCCTCAGACTATCCTCATGGTGTCAAATTAGCATCAGCCAACCCGGGCGGTGAGCATAAAGTTTTGATCGTGTTCACGGCCCCTAGTCAACAGGACCGCACACGGTTCGTCAGTGATCTGAGGGAGAGCATTGCTGAGGTGCAGGAAATGGAGAAATACAGAGTAGAGTGTGAGTACAGCACCCTCTGCTGCTCTCATAAATCAACTACACTTTATTCTGGCCCTCTACTGGTGGTTTACTACGACAGCGTTAACATCATTGATTTACAATAACCCTATCTGGTCAACATAATGATGATTCATAGAAAACACATAGTAAACAAGACAAAAATAGCTCATTGTAAACAATTAGCTTTTAGTATGTGTACAGACAAACTACTTGATGCTGGAAACGTTGTGCCTGGTTAGGAAAAGGTCTTACACTGTATAGTCATCTGATGATATTTGTTCTTTCTCCTCCTGCAGCTGAATTGGAGAAGCAGAAGGGAGTAATGCGGCCCAGCCTGCTCACCAACAGCATGATGACAGGAGTGGGTGGAGTCAAGAATGAAGTGGTGAATGGCACTATGGGAAGGCCTAGTTTGGATGATAACTATTCACCAGGAGAGGGCCTCAAACGCACTGCTCTCAGCTCCTCACTGAGGGACCTGTCTGAATCAGGTGAGACTCTTTACTGTGACTGGCAGCCAATTTAATTATGGTCATTTAATACCATACTACATTAGGGGCAAATATAAAATATCAAAGGAAATGTTTACCCAAAAATAAAAATTCTGTCAAAATGTACTCGCCGTCGTGTTGTTCCAAACATGTACTATTTACTTTCTCCCGTGGAACACAAAAAAAGGATATTTTGAAGAATGCTGGTAACTAAACAGTATCGGTTCCCATTGACTTCCATTGTATGGACAAAAAATACAATTGAAGTCAATAGGACCCGAAACTGTTTGGTTATCAGCATTCTTCAAAATATCTTCTTTTGTGTTCAGAGGAAGAAAGAAATGTATATGTGTTTGGAATGACATGAGGGTGAGTAAATGATGACAGAATTTTTGGGGTGGACTATCCCTTTAAATGTACATACTGTACATATACAAAGTTTTTTGTCAAAACAATTATTAAAAGTACTGGATTTTTTTTTGTATGATTCTTTTTATTTGTCCTTATGTCTTTATTATAGGGCTTATTATACGCTAAATTGTAGTTTTGGGGTGATATATTCTTCAAGAATAATCTAAAAATTTGCAGACACCAACAAGAAAGTAAAAATTATGTTAACACTACAGTTGTGTGTGACGCTTTGAGCACTGTTGAGCGAAATCGTAAACACCTCTGATTGCCCTGACGCTCAAAGTGTCACAATTTAAACATTTCAGTACCGAGTCTGACCGAAGTTTTAGTCTGACAACTCTAGTTAACACTGACTGTCATTACACTCAGTCACTCACTCACTCCCACACACACACAAACACACACACACACACACACACTGCAGTTGTGACTGACATCTGCTAACTGGGTAACAGGGAAACGTGGCCGCAGAAACAGCGTTGGTTCCCTTGACAGTACAATGGAAGTAAGTCTGAGTGAAGCAGAGGTCTGTATCTTTAGCTTTAGTCCCCAAACCCAAACCACCCGCATGCCTGCCTGGAATCCCCACAAAACATGGCGTCATCCTGCATGTGTCCTTACCATAGACACAGAGCCATGTGTGTGCATCTTGTGTGACCATGTGTGGTCCGTGGAATGTTAATGTACACGTGACTGAGGCGATGAATCAATACCATCAGTTATTCAGACTCCCTGTGAAGATTTGCAGTCATTCGGGACATTGTTGAAAATCTTGTAGAGTTTACTCTGAGACATCTGGACTAGAAGACATCTTATTGACCCGGAATTAATTCTGCATGACATTGATATTCTATAGAAACACATAAATTTAGTTCATGTTTTTTTTTTTACTTCTCTAGTCATTATTGTATGGTTGCATTGTGCTTTTGTAATGTGGTTTGTGTAGATGTTTGGTATTTGAAATGCTATGCATGGACTAGTGGTTGTATGATATCAGTTCTCTTCATTTTGATACTAAGTCCTGCATTTTATTAAGTGTCCCTTACAAATCAAGTCAAATATGTAATAAAATGTACCCTTTTTTACTCGTTAAGTACACAAATACATAGTCTCATTATACATGATTCATTAGTGTGTTTTGGGGCAGTCCTAAAATGATGATTCACATATGAAACAGCATTGACCAGTGACAGCTTCTGTAATAGCAGGGCCAGCAATGAATGACAGCAGATTGGATGCCACTTCCTGGTTCAGTGTAAAATCGATAATAGGCAATAGATATTAAAAAAGCAATAGGCAAAATGTATTCATCAATCAATCACAAATAAGCTGTATCATTACACAGTTTCTTTTTGTTTTTATATCTGCATTTTTATTAACTGACTGTTTTTGATTATCAGATTTTAAGTTATTTTAACCTAAATATCCAATATTGATAATCAATTGCTGATCAGCTTTTCTAACCATTTATCCATTTCATAGTTGATTTATTGATTTCTTAATTTTTCAAGTGACGATTGATTCGAGCCCACATTAAACGAATTACCGTTTCAACTTTCTGAAGTCTTTCAAACAAGACAAGTGACCACCAATCAAGTCCGCCTCCTTTTTAATCTCATTTGAATACTCTGTTTATGATTACAGAAGTAGAATGGTTTACAAGTGCTGTTTCATCTTAAATTTTATGGCAACTAAACAGATGAGTAATTTCTTGGAAGCATAGGTTTTGACCATTACACAAAACAGAAATAATATTCCAAGTTACCAATAGCAAATTTGGCGTTATTAGGATTCGGGACACATAATAGATAGTTGGGCGCATGTGTTTGTGTAATAATGTTCTGAATTATGATGCGGACACAATGTTGTTTCACTACCCTAATCAACTCACCCCTGTTTTTCCTCCCCATCGAACCCACCTTTCTCTCTGTATCCTTTTGCTATATTTTCTTTCTCTCTCTTGTTTATTGCCCATATTCCTGCTCCACTTTGCACACCCTCTCTTCTCTCTCAAACACTTGTTTTTGGCTTTGCTGTCCTCCTCTTTTTTCCTCCTTTCCCCCCACTCTCTTTGTCTTAGGGTTCCATCATTAGCAGTCCACGGCCTCACCAGCGTTATCCAGTAGCCACTGTTCTCCCGGGATGCTATGGAGCAGAAGATTACCGGCCTCACCGCCCCATCCTGAGCCCCGGAGTGGGGGTGGGGGGTGGGCCGGGGCAGCAACACACACCTGCGGTGACTGGCGCTGGGCCAGTCTCCAGCAGCACCGAGAGAGGAACGACTGGAATGGGGACTGGGAGCAACAGCAACAACACCGGTTCCTTCCTGGGCTCCCTTTTTGGGGGCAAACGGTCCAAAGCGCCGGGTCCTATTATCCCCCCGGGGCCACCTTACCCCGCCCCTGTGGCCCCGCCGACTACAGGAGGGCCGCCGCCTCTGTCCCCGTCCTCGCTTTGCCCGGGGGAGGGCGGGGGTCCTTCCAAGATCCAGGCCCTGCACGCCCAGTACTGCCATACTACCAGCAACAATGTCAGTGGACAGCCTCCACCCCCGTACTACCACCACCACCGCTTCCATACACAGACCGCACCTACATCTGGGCCGCCGGGCCTCCATACTCTTCAGCGGGTCACCTTGCCTCGACGACCACTCCCCAACCCCTCCGCACAATCCCCGTACCAGCCGATCTCCCAGCATACTTTGCAGGGTCGCTACGGGAGCATGGGCAACATGGGCTCCGGCCACCCTCCCCCCCTTTCTCCTCACTCCCCACTCTCCCCTCATCCGCAGTTTGCTCTGTTCCACACGCAGCCCACACACTCGGCCAGAGGCGGCATCAGCAAGCCCCCTCTCACCCTGTCGCACTCTCAGCCGCACCCGCACGCACACTCCCACACCCACCCCGTGCATGTGCACACGCCGCACCCGGGCTCCCACCCCGTGCACCAACCTCACTTCGTATTCGCCAGCCCTCCGCCCCCGCCCTTCCCAGCTCCAACTCAGCCGCCTCCAGTCTCCGCGTCCGGCACTGTCCACCACGGGCCGCCGGCCGCCCAGTATCTGCCCCAGTATCCTCCGTTGGGCTCTATTCCCCCTCCCCCCCCCCCACTCCCCTTTACCCCCCCCTTCCTCCCCCCTTATCCCTCTTACGCCTCTCTCCCCTCTCCCCCCCCAGCACCAAGGCCCACCTTCCCAAGCCGGGGGTCAGCAAGGGCCCTCGCCGGCCCAGAGTGGGGCCGCACCTGGGGGGACGGGCACAGTCGAACGCGCCAAATCCAAACCTACCAACCGAATCAGCACGGTAGTGTGAGCCGGGGGAAGTCGCGAGGCTGGGGGACGCTGAAGGGTCCTTTGGTAATCGGAGGGGGGACCTCTGCGAGGGTGGAGGAGGCGGGCAGCGGCAGGGCCAAATCTGATAATAATGCCAGCGGGAAAAAGAAACGCAGCCTGCTAAGACTCTGCTACTTTCACCTGCGCTTCCCACAAGTGTGATCGAAGGGACTTACCGAGCCAAAACTGCCACACAGATAGTTGAAGGCTCTTAGGTAGATTAGTGCTGTGGGAAATATACTAGACAACAATAAAGAGAAACAATTAGGACACTTTTTTTCAGTTCAGCTGATGTAGATGGGTTGGTGACTGCCAACTGACTTCTTGGCTTCTTCTTAAATTCCATATTCAGACAAGAAATAACCTACTAAAGCATGTAAAAGACACGTGGACATGCACACACAAACTCGAACATAAAATTGTCCACAGTCTTGTTTTTAGTTGCGTAGAGCCATAAAGCTAGGGTAAAATGGTTGCATTCTGCATTCATCATCGCAGGCATTGGAGAAACTGTACCTTGTTTGACCTGGGAACCTGTTTAGGAAATGTGAAGACCAGAGAGCATACGAATAACATTGTGCTGCTGGACAGATCAAAGCACAGTATGTTCAGTGAGTTCATACATTCCAGTAATCATGTTAAGCATTAGTCGCTATAGCATTCGCAAGATGCAATAATCTTTTCACTTAATTGATGTCCAGCTTCTACTTGCTAAATAATTTCAAATGCTCTATTGCTCTTTTTGTATACATCTATAACATTGACATATATAATAGAGATAAATCCACAAAGCAAATATCTTACACCTGGTATGATTGTTTAAAGTAAGTATTGGCCTGACCTCTTCCACTCTTAACACTAGTCAGCTGTAAAACGCCTTGTATGTGGATGTGCTGTTTGTAATCATCCTAGAATCACTTTCAGTATTATTACCATGTGTAAAATTATATGAAATTTTAACACAAAATAATATTTCAGTAATGTTAAATATATAAATATATATCAGTCAAATAATAAATCAGTAACATTTGATCTATAAACTTAATTTCTACAGTTGCACCAATACCATGTTTTAGAAAAGAAATATCAATGTATACACAAATGAGAAAACTTAAATTTCATAATTTGATCTGTAATAATGAGCTTGTTTTGGTAAATTATTTTTATAATTTTTATTTTTTTATTTTAAATCTAAAGTATTGTGCCTAAAATCTAAAAATGTTCTCATGGCAGCATTACTTTCTATTAATCCAGTGTGACAGTAATTTTATTTTTTGAAGAATCCCAAAGGGCTTGAATGAATTTCAAAGGATGTTGACTCACATTACAGTAAAAATCATTGAGTACATTATCATCCATGTCTAAATTCTTAGCACTTTTCTAAAGTTCCAGTGAATTTGTCAAGGCCCAGAATGTGAAAACAAAAGGCATCCAATGCACTTTATAAATGAATGTGTTTTCTGAACTATATTAAATTAATATATCTCCATAATCCATTAAAAAACAAAAAAACATTACACTTTTCCCACGTTAAGTATTTTTTACCTATGAGGGCTAGTGACGTATGAAGGAAACATTCCATGAAAGATTGTTGCCAGTCTTCACATCTGAATTGTCTGTATTTAGTTTCCATTGGGTCCTCATCAATACTGCCAACCACTTTACCAAGGTGTTTTTGATTAGTTTATGCTGTTATATGAATGTTTGCTATGAATTTCAATTTTAATGAATATAACTATTCTTATTTTATGTTATGAAACTAAATTTGACAAAATACAAAAGATACTTGTAAATAGGAAATGTTTTCTCATGCTTTGACATTCAACGGTGAAGTGTCAAGGATGTGTTTTATTGTTATTGATGATTTTTATGGACAAACACACTTGTCTTTACAAGTGACCTTGAATGTCAGAGACTTCGTATGGGTATTATTTAATCCTTTTTTTAAACAGAAGTTGTGTACCGGTCATGATGTTTTGTGCAGCTGATTTTTTGGTTTGGGCTAAAAAAAACGACCTATTCTGACAATATAGCACCAGTCATACTTCAATAACCTTCCTCGTTTTTCCTCTGTATGATTAATGAAGGAGAGGAGGAAGATGGAGGAACCTGTATAAATAAACGATCACATTAATACAAGGATTTCAGTTTACCTGTACGAGAAATCAAGGTAATTTATCCTTAAGTAAGGCCTTAGTGTAAGTACTGCTTGAAGTTTCTGTTTGTGTGGATGCATAACGTGATCTCAAGTGCTGTTATATATTTCTGGACTGGGCTTAATGCAGATGCTCAGTATTATTTGTCTTGATGTGATGCTCAGTTATTGTGTGTAAGATATTTATGCCCTTTTGCTACCTTTTCAAATCACCATCTCTTTCTATGTGCTCCTGCATATGCTATTTAGCTACATATGATCAGCACTGCACAGTACTAAATAATAGGACAGTATGGTGGAAAATGGGGCTCCATTTACATATATTCCATGGCCGGATATCAATATGAGATGGGACAGAATATAAAGATTAGAAATACCTAACTTATTAATTGCATTTATTTCAAGATTTTCATGATATTTTTCATTAACTGTCTGTCTTTCTCTGTGAATTTTCTTGCACGAGTATGTCTGTATTTACTGAGCTCTGTAACAAACTGTAAATAGACTGTGATTTAATATTTACAATGAGACAGGGAATGTGTCAAAGGTATGTGTGTGTGTGTGTGTGTGTGTGTAGGGAGATGGCATTAAATGTAGATGATCATTGCATATTTATTTTGATCCAAGAAAATTAATTTTATCTGTAAACTTGTACAAGTGTGTATGTCAAAGCAGATTGAAGTGTAATTTTGAAAAAGGTATATGAAGTCATCTTATTTGTGTACAGATAATATATGAAATTAAGCAAATTCGGAGAGATGTGAATATTTATTGCCTAATATTATGAATAAAAATATATAAAGTGTCCTGACACAACTTGTTGTTGTTGTTGTGTGTCTTTTTTCGACCTATATTTTGAACTGCATAATCTTTGAAAGGAATAATTCACCCAAAAATGTAAATAATGTTGGTCTACTTTCTCCTGTCGAACACAATAGGGACTGACAGCCTCAGTCACCATTCACTTTCATTGCCTTTTTTTCCATAAAACTAAAGCAAATGGTGACTGAGAGTGCAACAACATGAGGGTAAGTTATGAAAGATTTTCATTTTTGGGTGAACTATCCCTTTAAGAGTTCATTTATATATTTAATCTGACTCACCATTAAAATTCCAGGACCAACAAATTGTCAAGTTTTTTTCGATTGAGCTCTTGAACTAGAATTATTGCTCCCTCAAATCACTGTGTACTGAGAACTTATGTCGAACAAAGCAATTCTACTGAACATATTCATTTCCACAGTTCTATAATTTCATTGATACATTTAAGTTTTAGATGGCCAGATATTGTTCTACAGACCTGATCTTACATAAATAGCCTATCTTACATAAATATTCATCAAAACAGTAAAAAACAATTAATATTCATATTGTGAATAACCTAATTAATAGTACATTTTTATTAATATGATTATTATAGTCATTATTGTCATTGTTATTATTAAAGTATACAACAGACATTAAATACATTATGGGAGACAAATGAAATTTAGGAGAAAAAATAGCCTATGTAGTTTGGGTAATAAAAATAATTTGGATTATGTACTAAATCTGATACAATTTATAGCTACGGCATTATCTATTATGAGAAATCAAGAAAATTCAACCCAACCCACAAACTAAAATGAGTAAATGATGACATAATTTATTTTGGGTTATTTCGATGTTTTGCCACTAGTTGTCGCTACCCAATTTGTTTTTCGCATACATCGCTTGACCTCTTCTGCGCAAATTTTATTCACTGGAACTACTTCTCCAAGAAAGAGGTGAAATATCACTCCGCGTCACGTACGCTCGTCTACCTGCATCACTTGTGCAACACACACAACTATTCACAATTCGACATTCTAAAATATATAGTCCACTTTTAAAGTACTTGTGAAACCAGCAGGTATTTGCCATTGTATCCAGGACGATAATTTACGTGCTTCTGCATGAAATCGGACGAGTCCAGGGGACTAGTTTACATGTAACTAGAAGCGTGGAGGGATGAGACCATGCTCGCATCCAGTCAAGTGCGTGTTTTCCCAACTGAGATCAATGGATCTTGAGAGAGTTGTGCTTAGGTCGTGATGAAACCAAGATGGCGTGTAGTTCAGACAGGATGAACTGTGGATAGGTGCCGAGGAAAGAAACATTGGAAACGTGTATTTTGCGCACGCGCTCGAAGTGGTTATTATAAAGAAAACGTCAACTTACGCGGGACGTTCTGGAGTCAGTAGAAAAGAAGATCTCCGCGATCATCAACCCTCTAACCGGCCGAGAGTGTGTGTATGAGAGTGTATGAGAGTGTGTGTGCTGGGATGGGCTGATCGAGGAGGCCGCAGAGCCACTGCCACCCAGAGACTGACCCTCTGCCGAACAATAGACCCCGTGATCATCATCATACAACACCCCGAAAGACACAAATAATAAAACACACCGGCTCAGGCGACACCGAAGATAAGAAGAACTCAGACCAAGTGCAAAAAAAATGTAAGACTGTGTTGTTCAGATTCAACCTGCACTGATGGCTAAATTTATATCGATTTAGGGCAAGTGTTTATGTTTTACCTGGTATAGACGATCAAATTGTCCATTTAAATGTCACACATCATATACCTGCGACCCAAGACAAGTAAAGTATCATCACCTGGTGTGCGTTTCCACAACTCAGCCATTCCTTGGGGTTGAGTCCTAATGTTTGGCCCTCGTACTGGATTTATAATCTGTTTAAGTCTTCGTGCTTTTGGATATGTCGAGGTTCGTTTTACCTTTAACGTCAAATGAATCGTTGGTTGGATTTGTCGTGGGTCTACTGACACACGGATGGTGAGGCTTTATTGTTTTGATCATTAGCCGGACAGCTAACTAGCTACTTCTATAAAACTGCTTTCTAAGCAAATCCCAAGTGCACACAATTTTCACAGATACGTCTAAAAAGTGTCCATTCACCACATTCTTTTGGTCTCCTTAGTGTTATCAGTGAATTTAAAGGCTTTTCTCGAATCTCACGCGAGTTGAGGCCGGTTAGCAGGCTAAAGCTACAGGAAATTTGGGATTATGACTCTTTCAAACCCTGGTGTGCTGTGTACCCTAGAAAGCAGTTTTGACCGTTGTGTGTGCCATTTTAATGTGTTTTTGTCTAATTCTAATGTTTTTGTCTAGGTAGGCAGCTAACTATGTTTTGAGAGACAGTCACTGCCACCATTATTTTATTTATAACTAGGCGTCTGTCACGCCATTGTCAAATACATCTATTTGATTTAAATAGCTAAACTTTATGTAATATGAGTGGGACATAACTTGAGCGAGACAGGTGGAGACCCTGTTCTTTTTATTACATATATTCATGTTATTTATTTATCAAGATTAATCCGGTAAAACGGGAAGTTAATGTCATCGTTTTTAGCTTGGGAAATGAAGTGTGAGCCATTTGTCACGTGATCCGTTTTTGTTGTCGTTTTCATAACATGGACGATAACAGTATAAACAATGTTTTGTAAGTAGCAGTAAATGTAAGGCCTGTGTCAAACAAGGCATTTTCCTGTTTTAAAAGGCACAGTTTTGGTGATATATGCAGGCTATTTATGTTTTCCTGGCAAGGCCTAAATGAACAATGTTTCAATCCCTCCCCCATTTTGTCTGGTCTGAGATTAGAAGACAAGGTCAAAATCAGGGGATTTCTGAAGTTAGAAATTATATGATGTTTCATTAGAATAGAAATGAAATAAGGTGCATTTCCATATGTGCTTCTAAGAAATTAGTTTCTGTTCTCCAGTTCCTTTGACCAGTGTACTTGTGGAAGGACTTTTTCCTTTGTCTACTAAACTTCCTGATTAGTTCAGTGGATGCATCATCACCTAACTTTA